AGGCTACTCAAAACTTTTGCCACTTTAGGAAAAACAGGCTGTGCTTCTGTAATAAAATTATTTTGCACAAGCAGGCAGGTTGGTATCAATTTTTGCAACATTCCAGGCCATTGAGCAGCCATCCCAAAGTACAATGGCCTTATTTATCTCATCGCCAGGTCTTTTTTGTTGTTAAATTGGGTGCTTCATCACCTTTCGGTGTTTTGACACTTACAGGTAATAACTTCACAATCCTTGGAATTTTCCCAGACCCTCATGGAAACACAGCCTGAGTATAAAGGCACCCACCAAAAATTTGCCAGCCCCCTTTCACAAATGGCTTGTGCTGTTGACCACGAGCTGCTTCACCACGTCTCAGAAAGCCAAAACCAGCAGTATGGAGCCGATGGCCCAGGAGGCTGATACCTCCAACACCCGTTGGCCCAACTGGAACAGGGAAGAACTGGAAGACTTAATCAACATTTGGTTAAGGCAAAGGACCATAGGCTGGACAGTAGGAGGAATAAGGCTGTTTATGTCAAGATCACAAAGGCATGCAGGCATGAGGGCACAATTGTGACTGGACCCAGGTCTGGTGCAAGATCAAGTCTCTGAGATCAGCATTTTACAGAGCCAAAGATGTAAACTCTCATTCTGAGGTGGGTCGCACAATTGCCCCCTTCTATGACAAGCTGTCCATCATTCTCTCCAGGGATGACAACCCGGGTATGGAGACTTTCAGCACCAGGGATGGGATGGAGGAAGCGGTGGCAGTAGCCCCTCCTGAGGGTGAAACCATGAGCATGTCTCAGCTGTATGGAGACTGCTCCCTGATGACTGTGAGTGACAGGAAGAACCATTGATCACCATACACTTAGTGCCACTTAACCCCTCCATTCCACGGGCTAGCACAGATGATGAAATGGAGGAGGTGGATGGTCAGGAAGAAACCCATGCGACTGATGCATCATCTACTGCTACCGAGACCCAAGAACATGCTGGATCTGGTAAGTCTCTTGTAATGTGCCTCTTGCTACTGCCAGGCAATGCCCAGGCTCATGCTGGTTAAGTTTGGGGGGCCAGAGGGGAGGGGGAGAAATTCATGTGTTGCTGTAGGTAGGTCACCATTTCAGTGGTGGTGCATGATGGGTTCAATAGCTCGTAATGTAACAGATGACAAACAAATTATTTGCTTTCATTACCTTTTTGCAGCTAGCATGGGCAGTGGCAGCCATGGACCTGTTTCCGAAGTGAGTACTTGTAAGTTTTGGGCAGTACGAGTGGTGTCTCACTGTTGTGGGGTCTGTTTCTGTGCCTGCCGGCATTTTGTGCACTACATGGTGGGTGTAGGGGTAGGGGTATGTACTTTTCTCCTCTTGTGAGGCAGGCAACCATTGTTTTTTTCTTTATCAGCCACCACAACCCATAGCCACAGGGAACGGCACCCCGCTCGCACTATAGCAGAGCACTGCAGAGATTTTCGCAGCAAGCAAGGATGGTCCCACGAAACATTGCTCGAGGTTTTGGCAGAGTCGTCAGTAGCCAGAGTGGAACATGCAGACGCCTGGTGGGATGAACTCCATAAGTTGCTGCATAAGGAGGATGCCATCCTCGAGCAAGTGAGAGTCCCCATGCAGAATTTGAAAAACCTGGTCAATGAGTCCCGTGTTGAATTATAGAGGTCACAGGACACTTTCAATGATGCCTTTCAGAGTGCGCAGAAGTACCTAAATAAACAGGTACGATGCCCGAAAGGGAAAAGCCGATCCACTCATCTTGCCTCTGTACAACACAAGTGGACAATTACAGCTGAGCCTGTTCCCCCTAACTCAGTGAGGTCACAGGAAGCTGTATGACTGCCAGCAGGGCACCACTACATTTCAGGGAGATGGGGGCAGTTCAGGGTCATGGTGGGGTGAAGGCAAAGAAGCACAAGTAACTATAATAGTGTGTTGCAAACAATAAAACCTCATGGTTTCCTGGCTTCCGGTGTCTGCCTCCATATCCACCCTTAGGTTGCTTGGTTGCGAAGGTGGATTTCGTTCGTTGTTTGGATTAATTTCTCTGTTCGTTTTTCCTGCTGCTTCCTGCATGGTGCTGGGGGGAGGGGCTGGCAATCTCTCTTGCATAGGTACAGAGAGGGGCTCCAGAGGTAAACAGGGGGGCTGCCTAGGTGGGTCACAACTCACAAGTGCTGGCCTGCCCAAAAGCATTTTGCAAAGGCTAGTGTGTCACCCTCTTCGCAGCCTGGCTTGCTTTTTTGCAAGCCACTAGCCACTTTGCAAAGTCGCCCACAGGGGCTCATGCCTTCCCAGGCTCTTTGGCTCACCCTTCACAACCCTTTCTTGCATTTTCCCTAGACAGAAACTTTGAAAACGCACTTTTTCAAGATTCTTTTCACACTCTTTTCCAGCCAGGTGCCAGGCACTGCCTCATTTGTTTTGGAACATGAAAGCGAGGCTGTGGGTGGGGGGTTGGCATGGGGTTTAAGTCCTGCTTTCCTTGTACACAAACCCAGGGACTTTGCAAACTTTTCTGCCTTTTTTCATGCTCTTTTCCAGGCTAGCGCCAGACTGCTTTTTTTTCCACACCAAAACGAGGCTGGTGGGGGTGGGGGAGTCGCCCCACTCAAGCACTATAAATTGAGGGGGACAGAGGTCAGGGTGTGCGGTCACTGTATTGCTGAGGGTGGTTTGAGGTGGGTGAGGGATGACAGCACAGTAGGGTCACAGAAGGACTCATCCCAGTCATGAGACTTGCCCCTGGGGGGCACAGCAATACAAATCCAGGTTTTGAGAAGACTGCAGGCTGATCAAGTGGGGTGTAATGAAGCTTCGAGTGCTATTTGATGCCCGCACCTCTGCAACATGCGACTCGAAAGAGGACATGGTGATGTGCTACGAGCCACCTTTGGTAAGTGACACCTGACACTTGTCTGTGCCCTGAGGGTGGCAAGGTCATCTGTAAGGGGGTGTGAATACAAGCAAGTGCCCCAGGCACAGCGCTTTGGAGGCCCTGCAGAGACTAGCAGAGCGGACAGGGCAACTCCTCAGTGTCGCCGTTGGCCTGGCATCCAGACACTCGCCAACTTCCTTCCTCTGCCACCAGGGCATGAGGGATCAGCTCTGCATTGGAGGGGGGAGGGGGCATGCTAATTTGCCCAAGGCCCTGCACCAGTGGCATACTGTGGATCTCCAGGACCCAGGGGACAAGCCCAGGGTGCCGTCATCCTCACTCCTGTGTGTGCCCACCCTGGATAAGAACCCTTCTGTGGTGGTTTCGATGGTGGCGGGGGGGACAGCAGTGCAGAGTGGTGGTGCCCCCTTCACACTTGCCCATGGTGCCCCCTTTGCATCTGTGCTGGGGCATCCATGCTGCCAGCCGCTGCTGGTACGCCACTGCCCTCACCCTGGTAGGGTCATCTCTAGTTGTGTGTGTGTGTGTGAGGGGAAATGCATTGTTTAGTTCAAATGTATTGTAAACAGGACTGGTGGAATTTTATGGGTATGCGAAGGAAGGTATGCGAGGTGCACAAGAGCCACCAATTCAAATTCTGATGCTCTTTCTATCCTCCCTCCCTCTCTCCCTCTGGTTCTTAGATCCCCTTCCACTGTTAGTCGCAGGCTGATCGATCCCTGTTGGTGTGACAAGAGGCAGAAAGAGA